GCCCTGCTCTGTGGTCCTCATACCTTTCTTAAAACACCTGCTCCTTCTTTTTTGCATTATGTATGTCACTTATGTACTATAAACAGAGTCACTTTGTTTAACTCTGTTGCACGGAATGAAGTCCAAATTCTTTAGAATAATGTACAAGTCTCTCGGGACTTGATGCCTGCTTTCTTTTGAGTCTTATGTTCTGATGCTCCGTTCTGTGGACCTGATACCAGAGCTGTAATATAAACCAATTATTAGGAATTCCTAAGCCCCTCAGATCCCAATCCCTCAGCTCCATGGCCTGGGGAGGGGTAAACTGCTCCTTAGGATTCTCGAGAGCTCCTGGGGCTTGCATTCTCATACAACCTGCAATCCTGCCTACCATGCCAGTAGCTTTCCTCTGTGTTACACCCGACTACAACTTATTCCCTTCCTATACTTGAGGAAAATAAACCAAAACCTTTCCAGCAAAACATTCATGAGTCTGGCTGACTTTTGAAGGAGCTTCAGGAGGATTTACATTTTCTTGGTTACAACATCCGTAAAAAGAAGGATCCACCTGCCCTTTGCCCCAGGGAAGCCCCGTCACTCCCTTTTGTTGATTCCTCATTCCTCCTTATTTTGGACTTATCTTCCTGTACTCCTCTTTCCATCCCTTCTAGAAGCAGAAGTTTGGCACCTCCAGGACTTTGATCCCAAGCACTTAACAAGTGTTTCAGAGAACACCTGATTTGGGGCATTATGAACCTCGTGGGGCCAAGTATTACATTTTACCTAGCTGGCTCTGATATTCTTTAGGTCATGAATCTGAAAAGCTTCTGAGTCAAAAAGCCATTGAAAACTGAATCCCGTTGACTGAAATAGTCTTTCACTTGTTCTGAGATGCTGGCATTCCACACTTGCACTCCACAGTTTTCAGTGGAGGCCTCCAGCTGGCTTAGAATTGCTGCTGCTCAGTTGCAAAGTTGTGTTTACTTAGAGCATCCAGGCCCTGTGATAACTTGTCTGGCACATTAGCATGATGACATCTCTTGCTCCCTGTTTTGCTAATACACTGGCCATCCAGGTCTGAGAAACTTCTGCATTCATCTTGGACTGAGAGATGCTGTAGGAACAGCCTAAATTTGTACTTAGCTATACGATTACTAGATCAGTCAATTTTTACAAACATCTTTACTGAGATGACTGACATACTGTAAACCTCAAGAATTCAAAGTGTACAATTTAGTGGTTTTTAGTATATTGATGATCGAGTTAGGCAATCATCACTACAATCAAATTCCAGAACGTTTTCATCACTTCAGAATGAAGCTCCCTTCCCACAAGCAGTCATTCCCTAGCCCCAACCCACTGTCCAGCCCAGCCTAGGCAATGACTAATCTGCTTTTTGGTTCTACGTACTTGCCTATTCTGGACTTTTCAAATAAGTGGAATCAAACAATTCGTGGCCTTTTGGGTTTGGTTTCTTTTATTCATGTAAATGTTTATCTATATAGTCGTATGCATCATACTTGATTATTGCTAAATAATATTCCATTTTATGGATATAACACATTTTATTTATCCTTTCACCAGTTGATGAGCATTTGGCTTGTTCCTTTTTTTTTTATTATTATGAATAATGCTGCTATGGAACATTCGAGTACAAGTTTTTTTGTATTGACATATTTTTTTTTCATTTCTCAGGTATATATCTAGGAGTAGAATTGCTAGGTCATATGGTAACTTTATGTTTAGTTTTTTGAAGAACTGCCAGACTGGATTTTCCTTATCTGTCTTTTTTAAGTATAACCATCATCATAGCTATGTAGTGATATTTCATTGTGGTTTTGATTTGCATTAAGCTAATGGTTAATTATGTTAATTAATTAAATTTTGAGGCCATATGTTTTAGTGAACAATTGTAGTAATGAAATATAATCTTCTATTTTAATATTAACTTTTAGTAATCTTGAATAAAGTAGTAAAGAGAACTTGGACAAATGTTATACTTAGCAAGTATACCTCATTTCCAGTTCATTTTAAAAAATTTTAACTTGACTATATGAAAGTAGAACAAAAAAAAAGTGAAAACTCCAGAGATAGTTTCACTGGACAAATTCTCCATAAGCTAATAAAATACTTTTAGCTATTATGAGGTATAGGGCAATGAGACAAGCCTTGCATTTCTTATTATTTTTGTTTAAACAATTTGGTTTCTGTTGGAATATCTAAACTCCAATTCTTCTAACATGAATAAAATAGCATCTGCATCTGGAACCTAGACCACATCTGCTGGCTCCACAGGGCTTAGTAATTTTTTGTTTTGAAACAAGGAGGCAGAAAACATAATGTGTTCCTAACAAAAGAATCCACATTTGCAATAAAAATTTTAAAATGAGTGGAGTGACTTTATTTTTGGATGGTGTAAAAAACCATTAAAAGAAATTAGAAATTGCAATTTAAACAGTGGCTTCAATTAAGTAGATTGTCAAGCACTTCTTTCCCTGACCTGGATTTTTTTTTTTAAATGAAAAGGCCTAATAAATGCATCAGTGAAAAAAAACAGGATATAATATTTTCATAAACCATTTTCAATTATGGTCCAAGTGTTGTATTTAAGATCACTAAATGTAAACCAGTCCTACAAATAAAATTTTAAAAGGACAAACCAATGTACCGTTTCTGGTATTGTTTCTGTCTGGCAGCTCTGGGACCATAGAATGAGAGGCAATTGCCCTTGTCCACCTCATTGGAAGTGCAATAAAAGTGATCCTGAACGCAAAAACAGGAGAATGACATCCATGAGGCATATTCGTCAGTTCCCCCAGTTTAGTGGGGAAAGTACTGAGAAATGGAACGGCAGAACCACATATTAAAAAATTTAAGAACCAAAAAGTACAGTCATTTTTTTTTAAATAAAAAGAAACAAAGCTTTTAAATGGAAAAGGTAGGCTACTGATGAATGATTATTTGTCCGTAGGCCTTTATATAAAGATCTGTTCCCTTTCCAAGCAATTAAACATAATAAAATGAGCTAAAGATGTCAGATTTTTTAGGTTAGGCATACACAGAAATTTACTGACAAATAGATTAATTGGCCACATGAACTGTCTTCAAAATAAAGTTTTAAGTTTAGGGGTCTTTAAGATTTGTTTATATTGATTCAGATTATATGTACCTGGACACAGGAAACAAGGAATTTTCTGGTTCTGGGATTCTGTCACACTTTTTTTTTCCTTCTTCCTATGCTAGGTACTGGGGTAAGAGGCGGAAAAATTAAAAAGTAGCTAATGCCCTCTTTTTTATTCTTTTTTATATTTCTATTTTAAAAAATTTTAATTCCAGTATAGTTAAAATATAGCGTTATATTAGTTTCAGGTGTACATTACAGTGATTCAACAACTCCTTACATCACCCCGCGCTCATCACAAGTGCACTTCTTAATCCCATCACCTACTTCATCCATCCCCCCACCTCCCCTTCGGCAATCACTCTGGTTATCAGTTTGTTTTCTATAGTTAAAGTCTGTTTCTTGGTTTGTCTCTTTTTTTCCTTTGGTTCTCTTTCTTTTTTTTTCTTAGATTTTGTTTATTTGAGAGAGAACACAAGCAGGGAGGAGAGCCTGAGGGAGAGGGAAAAGCCAACTCCCTGCTGACCAGGGAGCCCGACATGGGGCTCCATCTCAGGACCCCAGGATCATGACCCCAGCCAAAGGCAGCTGCTTAACTGACTGAGCCACTCAGGCGCCCATGCTTGTTTGTTTCTTAAATTCTACATATGAATGATATCATGTAGTATTTGTCTTTCCATGACTAACTTATTTTGCTTAGCATTATACTCTCTAGATCCATCCATGATGTTGCAAATAGCAAGATTCCATTCTTTTAAAAATTATGTATATATAATATTTATTTATATTGCATATTAGATATATGTATTATACATATACATATATGTGTATATATACACATACACCTTCTTTATCCATCCATCTATTGATGGACAGGCTGCTTCCATTATTTGGCTATATACATATGAATGCATGTATCCCTTTTAATTTCTCTTGTTGTATTTGGAGAAATACCCAGCACTGTAATTGCTGGATCACAGGGTAGTCCTATTTTTAATTTTTTGAGGAACCTTTACACTGTTTTCCACAGTGACTGCACCAATTTGTATTCCCACCAACAGGGCAAGAGGGTTCCTTTTTCTCCACATCCTCACCAACACTTGTTGTTTCTTTGTTTTTGATTGTAGCCATTTTGACAGGTGTGAGGTGATACCTCATTGTAGTTTTGATTTGCATTTCCCTGATAATGAGTGATGATGATCATGTGTCTGTCCGCCATCCGGATGTCTTCTTTGGAGAAACGTCTGTTCACATCTTCTGCCCATTTTTAAATTCGATTATTCATCTTTTAGGTGCTGATTTGTATAAGTTCTTTATATATTTTGGTTATTAACCCTTTATTGGCTAAGTCATTTGCAAATATCTTCTCCTATTTAGTAGGGTGCCTTTTAGTTTTGTTGGTTGTTTTCTTTGCTGTGCAGAAGCTTTTTATTTTTATGTAGTCCTGATAGTTTATTTTTGCTCTTCTTTCCCTTGTCTCAGGAAGATTCTGTCATACTTCTTACAAAACATTAGAGAAAATCTGAAATTTTTATTTAATAATGTTGTCTAGCCAAAGTGATTTTATAATTAAAGTGTAAAGAAATATAAGATAGAAACTATTATTTTTAGTTTACATAAATGGTTGTTATTTTATTAGAAATATACTGTCTAATTATAATCACAAAGTGATCTTTATATTAAATATTTTTAGATATAATATATTGGAATATATTTCGATTAATATATAATATTTAATAATATATGCTATAACATATAATATATATTTTAATATTATATTATATATAACATATTTAATATATGTTAAATATATTTAGATATAATATATTAGATATAATATATTAGAAATATACTGCCTAAATTATAATCACAAAGTGATCTTTATATTAAATATTTTTAGGGTTTGATGATACTTTCCAGACATAAAAAATTAAAGGAACTTTCTCTATCTGAGTGTTATAAAATCACCGATGTCGGAATTACGGTAAGATAATAAAGGTCTTCTGTTAAAGAATTATGATTAAAAATTAGGCACAAATTGAATAAACTTTGTAGGTCATAGTAGAAAAAAATAAGAGGATTGCAAATGTATTAACTCATATGTGATCTTGGTTAAGACAAAATAAACTCCTGGACTTTACACAGGCCTCCACAGCTTAAGGTAACTAAAAGAATTTGTTTTCTTATTTTTCCTATCTACTCTCCCTTCCTGATGTTAGACTTAAGGGATAAATAAGGATAGGCAGACATTTCACTTGGAGAAAGATGAAATGAAATGTGGTAAAAGTCTTCTCATATAAAGAAAATATTCTGTAGATAAAAATGTTATATAATCTAACCATGAAAATTGGGAGAGTTTGAAAAATTATACCAGGTACTTAACAATTAGGAACTTCAGATACTCAAACACAGTGGATAGCATGTTTTACCATAACAGAAAGCACGAGCTAAGTAATTGGATAGGATAGATGATTATGTGCTCAGCTGGTACTTTAAGAGCTCATGAGAAGGTAAATTTCCTAGATCTGGTCTTGAGGGATGTGCTAGGAGCCGTAAAATAGCTATTGTGAGCAAGCCTCAATGTAACATTTATTACAACATTAAGCATCTCAGTGTGCTGTTAAAAGAAGAAAAACCACAATCATAGGTCCATCCATGCACTGAACCAGGACAACATCTGGTAACCTATTAGTAAATCATGGAAGGTAACACTTTTAAAGAGAACCAATAACCTAGGAATGTGCAAACTGTTAAACACACTGGAAACTCCATTTAATGTGTCCTGAGAGTTAAAAACCCCAACCACTTATAAAAACTCAGGGCTAAAGCTAGGAAAACATTTTTTTTTTTTTCAAAGAAACTCTGAGATAAAAGGATTTATTAAAGATAACGCAAGCTGATAGCTGAGAATTCTACAGAGTATCACAAACTTGAAGCTCTCTTCTGTGAATTGGAAATGGACATTACAAGAAGTTCAAACATGACTCACAGAAGAGTGTTAAAATATTATATAAATGGTGAGCTATCGAGGATGCTGGGTCAAAAGGTGGTCTAGACTTTAGCACAGAATTTCAGAGTTTTGCAGCTGAAGGAATCCTAGAACCATCTAAACCAACTCCCTAATTTTATAGGGGAAGAAATTAAGGCCGAGAGAGGTTAATGACTGTCCAACGTCCTATACCTTTCTCAGTAAACTAATCTAACTACAGTTTTATGGAAATAAAGAGTAGAAACGGAAAATTCCTGTTCTAAATGGTTGACTGACAACATGGCTTAGTGGAACAAATTTATTTTAAAATTATTTTTGCTGTAATTCATTATGTCTGGGCAATTAGTGGTACATAAGGGGAAAATGTAACACCATTAAGAAATCTCCTTTAAGAGGAACTAGTGTCAAGCAATGCCATTTTTTTCTCACCTTCAGACTCTGGGTGCTAAGGTTCTAACAAGTTCCCAAAGAATCTGCCTAGTGTGTATTCAACTGTACAAAGAGTTAAAGAGAAGAAATCATATCTTTCAAAGCAAAATCCCAGAGAAGACTAACAACTTTCACGGAGGACAAGATTTTAACTCTACAGTACCCAAAGGGGTTGCAAAACACTTACATGCCTGAAATCTACTAGGAGAAAAAGCTGAAAGTTTCTTCTAAGCTTACACAATGATTCACCCTACTGCAGTTCCTTTAAATTTAAACATACATTTACATAAAATTTTATCCATGAATATGATCTAGTCAGGCTTTTAAAAGGTCTTTGACAAGGTGATAGAATAAAGGTTTATTAAGATAAAACATGTTAACAGTTCTAATATTGTGTTATATTTCTTATATGGTGATCAATTACATTTGACCACTAACTACAAATCATTAAGTAGTACTGAAACCTATCACAGTGATGACAGGGCCTCTTAATTTACACCACTTACTAATGGATTCTTTAAAACGTTCCTTGGGATGAGAAAGTACTGATCAAAATACGAGGCTAAGTATTAGGAAGCCGGTGCTCTCTGTCATTTCTCCTTGACTCTATGGGTTCCAGGTACTCTTAGATTTTAGATAAAAGCACTTCTTCCATATGCTAATCACACAATCATACGGATGAGTGAAAAAAACGTGATCTTGGTTCGCCTGGGTGGCTCAGTGGGTTAAAGCCTCTGCCTTCGGCTCAGGTCATGATCCCAGGGTCCTGGAATGGAGTCCCGCATGGGGCTCTCTGCTCAGCGGGGAGCCTACTTCCCCCGCCCTCTCTCTCTGCCTGCCTCTCTGCCTACTTGTGATCTCTGTCTGTCAAATAAATAAATAAAATTTTTAAAAAGATGTGATCTTTTAAAAATTGATATATATTTTTCATCTAAAAGAGAAAATAAAAAGGGGGAAAACAGGAGCATGGGAGTTACAATATTATTTAATTATTAGTTACACAAGATCAGTTATTCAAGTTCATGAAAAAATTTTTCCTCTTTTTCATCATCTCATTTTGTCCTCCCTGCTTGTGTGTGTGTGTGTGTGTGTGTGTTGTGGCTGTTAACCAATTTTACCCTTCTAAGATTCCCGGGTTCACATTTCTGGGCATATAATAATCTTTCTCCTCTGTGCCTCCTCCAGCCCAATTATTAAGTCCAAAAAGAGATGAGACAAGGAAGGTAAAAGGAGAAGATGACACATAACCAATTTCACAATTCCTTATTTGGATTTATAAAAGAGAAGGGAGTCAGATAAGGTGATTGCATTGAGATATTTAGATTATCTACAATTTATCAAGAATTCACTTTCTTGTTACTTCTTAAAGGTAAATATAGGAGATTCTGTTTTTAGCACAAGGCATTGAAACTTATATTCAACCTGATGATTTAAGAAAAAATGAGATAAACATTTTTACCCTGGTTAGGTTTTGCAAGAGTCATGCCCATAATAAGAATAAAAAATTACCTCATTTTAGTGTTTTACTGGAAACCACAGCACATGCAGATTAAGTGTCTGGAGTCTCAGATGTACTGACTCAGGATCTGGTTTTAATTACTTCTTCCAACTTTGATTTTTTTTTTTCCTGAGAACATTAGACATTCAATGATCATGTTAAACTAAAATTATTTGGTGCTCTTGAAAGGCACACACATTTTGGAAAAGATGTTTGATGCAGTCGTAACAGAGCATTTCTCAAGAAATCTTTTCCTTGAGCATTTAATTAGCAAACTGTCCAGTTTGGCAAAAGAATTGGCAATTTTTTAATTGGGATGTTGCAATACAGATAAAATGGAAGTTCTGTCTTCTTTGGATATAACCAATGGAATAAATACAATTATTTACTCTAATTGCTTTTTGCCCTTCTTTATCTAGTTTATATTTCTCATTCCCATTTTGGGGAATGAAGTATGCTATAAATACATACTGTAATAATCATACATACAAATGTACATATTTTTCTTTATGTAGGTCATTTGCAGCTGGACAAATTTTTTTTTATTGTTTCGGTGTTGGTAGGTTGAGGTAGTTAATTAAGAAAGGGCATTGGAGGGGCGCCTGTGTGGCTCAGCCATTAAGTGTCTGCCTTCAGCTCAGGTCATGGTCTCAGGGTTCTGGGATTAAGCCCTGCATCTGGCTCTCTGCTCAGTGGGAAGCCTGCCTCTCCCTCTCCCATTACCCCTCCTTGTGTTCTCTCTCTTCTGTGTCTCTCTCTGTCAAATAAATAAATAAAATCTTTAACCAAAAAAAAAAAAAAAAAGAGGAGGGGGAAATCAAGCTTAGTTATGGCTTACCACAAGGACTTACATGGGTGTGTGCAGTGAAAAGTGTGTGTATGTGTTTACACATAAATATGTATGGCAGTGTATACCTATGTATAGCATATGTGTGCAAATTAAATGTAAGTTTTAGCATACATTAGATTGCATGTTTAGATGTAAACGTGTACATCTTTGTGTCTAGTATATATGTGTAAATTGAATATATGTGCACATTTTAGTGTATATTATACACATTTTTCAATGTGTCTGTATATTTATTATACCTAAATTGTATATAGAGATGCTGCGAGATTATATTTCTAGGCTAAGACCAAATAAATGGTGATCAGTATTGAAAGCAAATCATAAAAGTTGGTCTGTTAAAGAATGATCTTTTTGTTTATATTTTTATTTTAAAAATTAAATATGTGAATTAAAAGTGTGGAGATTTTTTTAAAAAGTGTGGACATTAGCGCTGATAGCAAAGGCAATGATATAATATTGGAAATGTGGGCCTAGCAATCCAAAGTCCTAAATTTTATCCTGATTCTGCCTGGCCACATAATCTTAAGCAATTCACTTAGTATCATAGCAATTCATTGCTCCTATAGTGGCTATAATCACGAGACAGGCAGGAACTAGCACTCTAGAATAGGAGTCATCTCTTCCTGTTACTTTTCTGTAGCATTCTCCTGTAAAGACCAGACAGCTTCCATTACAGACTTTGAAGGTGATACATTTCAGTCACAACTGCTCAACTCTGCTGGTGTGGGGTGAAAAACAGCCTTAGACAGTACATAAACAAATGACAGGGGTTGTGTCCCAATAAAACTTTATGGAAAATAAAACCTGAAATTCATATAATTTTCACATGAGATATTATTTTTTTATTATTTCAACATTTAAAAACGTAAAAGCCATTCTTTACAGTGGCAGATCAGATCTGGCCAGCAAGTAAAAATTTGGCAGTTTGCCAGCATCTGCTCTGCAGCCAGACAGAATTTGACAGGTTCAGTCTGTGAAGATGTATAACTTTGGGCAAGTTAGTTTCCTTCTCCAGGCCTTGGATTCTTCACTTGTAAAAATGGGCATAATAAGAAAACAGTCTTCCTGATGTGAAGATTGAATGATATAAAATATCTGGATAGGGGCGCCTGGGTGGCTCAGTGGGTTAAAGTCTCTGCCTTAGGCTCAGGTCATGATCCCAGGGTTCTGGGATCCAGCCCCGCATCAGGCTCTCTGCTCAGCAGGGAGCCTGCTTCA